TTTTACCCTTATTTGCTTTGAAGACAAAAACGTATTTACGAAACTGTCATTAATGAGGCAGCAAAGATTTTTCCGCCAAAAGCAAATAAGTCTACCGTTCATGTAGTGATAGATTTATAACATGTGGTAGACCTATTTATAGTTGTGGTAGAGTTAATTTTGTGAACGGTAGAGTTATTGATGGTTCGCGCAATGGTAGACTTATATATAGTACTAGTAGATATATAAAATGTGGTAGACTTATTTATAGTAGTGGTAGAGTTAATTTTCTTTAACGGTAGAGTTACTGATGGTTCGTGCAATGGTAGACTTATTTATAGTAGTGGTAGATTTATAATATGTGGTAGACTTATTTATAGTTGTGGTAGAATTAATTTGATTTAACGGTAGAGTTATTGATGGTTCGCGCAATGGTAGACTTATATATAGTACTAGTAGATATATAAAATGTGGTAGACTTATTTATAGTAGTGGTAGAGTTAATTTTCTTTAACGGTAGAGTTACTGATGGTTCGTGCAATGGTAGACTTATTTATAGTAGTGGTAGATTTATAATATGTGGTAGATTTATTTACAGTAGTGGTAAAATTAATTTGATTTAACGGTAGAGTTATTGATGGTTCGCGCAATGGTAGACTTATTTATAGTACTGGTAGATTTATAATATGTGGTAGACTTATTTATAGTAGTGGTAGAGTTAATTTTGTTTATTGATGGGTCGCCAAATGCTAGTGATAGTGGTAGATTTATAATATGTGGTAGACTTATTTGTAGTAGTGATAGTGATAGATTTATAATATGTGGTAGACTTATTTATAGTAGTGGTATATTTATAATATATGGTAGAGTTATTTATAGTAGTGGTAGAGTTATTCAATAAAGGGTAAAATCATAATTTATCATTCATCTTCTCCACACGACCCAACTTCTCTCAAACCCTAACTATGGCCGCCAACCACCTTTTAGCTTGTTCTTACTGTATTTTAACTTGTTTTCAACTGAATTTAGCCTAAAACTAGTAGATCTAACATATCCGTGTCTTCAACCTCTCAAAATCGAGATCTGGAACCCTAAAGTCGCCGCCTCTTCATAACACAAACGCTAATCGCAAACACGCATCGATACAAGTCTACCATCATTAAGAAAATAAGTCTACCATACTGGATTGAAATAACTCTACCATAACACAAAAACAGTCCAAAAAATCTACCAT